GATTGGCGCCGGTTAATTAGATGTAATTACACGATTTGCTAACGAGTTGGGGCAGCCCCCACCACGAGGGGGCTGTGGGAGAAGGTGGAGACTTTTGGGAGCGGGTTCCCTAAATATTCACCCCCTCAAATCAGGTTTTTTGGGGGGTTTGAACGCGGGGAGAGACTCAACCAACAAGTAACATGAGGGGAACTGGTTCTATCCTGACTCAGACCAGGCCTTGGAGCTGCTCCTGGGTTGTGGTGGGGTTGATAAAACCCCTCCCGCTGGGTTTTCTTTCATCTCCACCCAAAATCCAGCCGGTTTTGGGGCTGCCTGTTGCTATCTTGTGGTGCCAGCTGTTCCCAGGGAGTCCCTGAGGGGGTTTTTAGGTGGATATCAGCAGAAATGGAGCCTTCAGAAAGGTCATCATTGAGGTTGAAAGGCAACTTTTCCACCTGCAGTCGAATCTCGAGCGGTCGGTGACGTGAAAGGGCCCCCAAAACTTAGGCTTTCCACATGGATTTGCCTGTGTAAAAGCTGCTGTTTTTTTTTTCACACAACCTCTTGGCAGAAGAACTTTTGTCAGAAACTTCAGTTTCAGGTAAAACTTGAGGAGAGGGCTTTGAAAAATGGCCTGATTATTGTTCAAACCACTCGAATTCTTCTTGGAAACGCACCTGAAACTTGCAGGTTTTAAAGCCCCTTTAGTGTATTTTCATGTCTATATATATAAATATATATATAAAAGAATCTTTTTGTTTTCTGGACAAGAAGTTGGTTGGGTTTGCTTGGTCCTCTGGAAGAGGAGGTTCTGCTGAGAAAGTCCAAACTTGGTTCAAGCCATTCCAGGAGGGATGTGGAGGGAACCCAGGACCCCTCAAGGCCACAACGTTCATCTTGAGGATGACTTTTTCTATGAAAAAAAGCACATTTACGTGCTTTTTTTAGGAGGAGGGGGGTGTTATTTTAACACCTGAGGGTTCTTCCAGTGCACACAATGAAGGTTTGTACCATCCCAGTTGGAAAACTTGGGTGAAAGTTCCCTTGGAAAGGCAATGAACCCACCAAGGATGAGTTTTAACGCTGCCATTTAAACGCGTTCCGTTACCGCCGCCTTCCTCCCGGGGAGTTAGTGGCTGTATTAATGACACAATTATCTCTGGCTCTGCTCTCTCTGCTGCCTTGAACCTTCCAAGCTGCCTTTTTAGACCCGTCACTATATATATATATATATATATAAAAGAATCTTTTTGTCTTCTGGACAAGAAGTTGGTTGGGTTTGCTTGGTCCTCTGGAAGAGGAGGTTCTGCTGAGAAAGTCCAAACTTGGTTCAAGCCATTCCAGGAGGGATGTGGAGGGAACCCAGGACCCCTCAAGGCCGCGACGTTCATCTTGAGGATGACTTTTTCTATGAAAAAAAGCACACTTACGTGCTTTTTTTAGGAGGAGGGGGGTGTTATTTTAACACCTGAGGGTTCTTCCAGTGCACACAATGAAGGTTTGTACCATCCCAGTTGGAAAACTTGGGTGAAAGTTCCCTTGGAAAGGCAATGAACCCACCAAGGATGAGTTTTAACGCTGCCATTTAAACGCGTTCCGTTACCGCCGCCTTCCTCCCGGGGAGTTAGTGGCTGTATTAATGACACAATTATCTCTGGCTCTGCTCTCTCTGCTGCCTTGAACCTTCCAAGCTGCCTTTTTAGACCCGTCAGGAGGCTGGGAATTCATTTTCTCTCCCTCTCTCCCCCCCGTTTTTCCCTTCATCAGGCGAGGACAATAGACTCCACCAGGCTGTCTTCACCCGCTGCCTTTGTTCTCTGTTTGTCCTGGGCTTGATGTTATCAACCAGCTCCCGAGCTGAAGGGGTTTTATGCTTCACTTGGTGAAGGAAAAGCAGCCGGTCCACTTCAGAATCAGTGATTTTGGTTAAAAAAACAAACAAACCAACCCCATCTGAAAGCATTTGGGGGTTGTGATGAAACCCAGCACCTGCATTCCCGCCGTTCCCAGTAGCCGGAGCGGGCAAGAAAAAGGCCAATTTCTATTTATATATCTGAAATGTAGCCATAAAGCTGATTTAAATCTTATTTTTTGAATGATAAAAGGGGTGAGAAGAAGCCAAAGAGGCTTGCTTTGAGGCTGGGTGCTGCTTGCCACTGAATTCCAGGGGAAGTGAGAGGCATTTGGGTGAAAATCCATGAGGAAACCTCATCTCTCACATTCACAGAGTCCTCATCACCCTCCACGGGTGGTTTTCTGCTCCCAAAAGCAGGAATTCTTAGTTTTGATGAGAGATGAGGATGGATTCTGGCTTGGTGGTGTTATTCCAGGTGTGTAAAAAAAGCAGCAGACACTGGGAAAGCTCCAAAGAGGCACAATTGGGAAAAGTTGGGCTAAAATGCTGTGAACCGTGGTGGGATTTTGGTTGGAGCTGTCCTGAATACACCATTTCCCCCCTACTTTTTGGGTATCTTTGGATCCCTTCTTCCCTTTTTGATCCCATGATTAGATGGTCTAGAAGCAGATTTTCTCAAGAAGCAACTTTTTACCCCCAAGTCAAACCCACTGGGGGTGCTCAAGGCTCCTGAGAGTGACACAGACTTTGCCATTTCCAGCCTTGTGTGTTTTTCTGACCCTTTTTCCCCACAACTCTGAATTAAATCCAGCTCTAAAACTCAACCCCATTTCATCCTCAATTTGAAGCACTAACCTGGGACTTCCTGGGGGATCTTGGCACCTTTTGCTGCTTTTCCTCTTGGTTTTGTTGGTGGGTTTTTTTTTTGCTTATTCCTTTTTTTGTTTTGATTCCCATTTCAGGAAACATGCCTTGAACTGCCACAGGATGAAACCTGCACTTTTCAGTGTGCTCTGTGAAATCAAGGAGAAAACAGGTATGTTTGGTGTCTTTTTTCCCCCCTCTTTTGCTTTTCCCCCCAAAAAAATCCCCCCTCATTCCGCACTTTTCAGTGTGCTCTGTGAAATCAAGGAAAAAACAGGTATGTTTGGTGTCTTTTTTTTCTCCCCCTTTTTACTTTCCCCCCCCCACAAAGCCCCCCTCATTCTCTCCCAGTTCACCCACTTGTGTTTTCCCTGATGGATCCTAAAATTAAGGCTAATTTTGGTGGGGTTTAATAAAGCTGGAAATGGTTTTAATGTGGTTTTATAATGGAGAAAATAAGGTGTTTTTTGGGGAGTGTGTGAAAAATTTACAGATTAGGGTTGTTTGTTTTTTGGGGGGGTGAAAATCCTGCTGTCTTTTGCTCTTTGTTATTATTCTGTTTATTATTTATTTGCTCTTTATTATTATCCCTTTAAGGAACTGGTATCAAAATCAGGATGGTAGGAAGGGTTTCCAAGTTGACAAATAGTTGGATGAGGGAGGAAAAGAGGCAACAAACTGGGGGAAATCTGGAAGTAGGAATTGGGAATCATGCAGCTGCCATTGAGGAGCAAGTGGATTTTGCTTTTTTTAATTACCCAGCATCAGGGAATATAAAATTTCTCCAAACAACAGTGAATTTGGAAGGGTTTTTAGAGAATCACCACTCTCAGTTTATAACTAAAATGGTTTGTGGCAAATGAAAAAACCTCTTAAATCAACATTTTGTGAATGTTTTCACATCCTAAACCTCCATTTGTGGGATTTATTCTAAAATATTAAGACTCCCAGTGGCTCCTCCTTCAATTTCCAAGTGAGGGATCAGCCTCTTGTCCTCGTGACATCCCAATTTTGCCCAGTTTGGGGGCATTTATTGCATTTTCAGGACAGTGGAGAGAAAAAAACCTTGTGACAAAGAGTGTGTGGGGCTTCCCTGTGGTTTGTTATGTCTGGATTCTTGGCCTTAAAAGAAGGTTTTTCATCTGGTTTTCTTTTCTGTGCCCTTTATTGATTGAAGCTGCAGGAGCAGATTCAGGATTTGGTTTGGATCTCCCAGGTTTTTGAATGTCTGATGCTCTGTCTATCCCTTATTTAAATTACTGGGAGCAGATGTTAGGGCTGGGAAAAAACAAAAGGCTGGACATGCTGGAGTACAAGGTTTGGGGCTTTCTTTGTGACCTCAGGGATTCTTTGTTGTGTTGTGTTGTTTTTTTTTCCCCCAGCTTGGAAATGGGTTTAAAAACATGTTCCTCCCTCCCCCTCCTCATCTTCCCGTTGCTCTTTGTTGGGATCACTCACAATAGCTTGGGATGAGACTTTGCAACCAGCTGAAAGGTGTCACAATAACCCCCTAAAATCACATTCATTACAAATAAATTACAAATAACTGTGTCGTTTCAATAGAATGGGCCACTTTAATAAATATCACCCTCCCCTCCCCCCCAGTCATTTTAATTTTTAAACATTTTCAGTGGGGAAACTTAAGTATTTTATTTTCAAGTCCTGAATCTTGGGACAGTTTAAAGCCAGAAGGATGTGTCACAATTTTAAAGAGGCATCTCATCCAATAAAAGCCTTTTTTTGGGAGCACTCAAAAGCATTTGGAGCTTTTTCTTGAATCTCTCCAGCAATTTTTTTGCTGGTTGGGTCACACTTGGGATCTGATTTGAAGGGTGTGAATTAAAACATGGCATAATTGTATCTTAAAATCAGAATGAAACACCCCTGGTGTTTAAGGGTGCCAGGTTTTGGGGCTGAATATTGAATTTCAGGAGTGGTTCATGATGGATTTAGGTGACCTGCTGTTAAAAAAGATATTTGAAAAGAAGATGATTTACCAAATAAGCACATTTATTGTGGTTTTCTGCATGATTTGCTCCATGAAGAGAAAGGTAAAAAGGAAAGAGAGTCCCAGGAAAGGGTTTGTCTCTTCTTTTGGTACCAGGGATCTTGTACAGTTCACCCCAGCAACTCTCTAATTAATGAGATGTAAATATATTGCAATGATTGCATTTGCATACTGAGTGAGGCTTCAGCACCTTCGGTTGTGATGTATTTTAATTAAAGATTAATTAGAAATGATGGGGATTTCATTTTGCTCAGTGTAATTATTTGACATATTTGATGAGTACCTGGGAGGTGATGTGCAGGGAACACAGAACATCACGTGGGGTGAATCCTTCAGGTTTTTCTTGAACATCCATTAAAAAAAAGATGGATTGGGAAGGATTTGGGTGAAGGACTTAAGTGGGAAGGATTTAAGTGAAGGGCTTAAGTGGGAAGGATTTTCCTGGCTTTTCTAAACGATCCTTAAAGTCCTGACTACACCATCCCCACAGTCTCTTGGTGTTTGGGGCATTGATAGAGTTGTTGTATTTTTTAAATTCATACAATGATGGAATCATTGAGGTTGGAAGGGGCCTCTGGAGATCATTGAGGCCAGGAAGACCCAGGGCAGATCACACAGGAATGTGGCCAGATGGGTCTTGGAAGCCTCCAGAGCAGGAGACTCCACAGCCCCTCTGGGCAGCCTGGCCCAGGGCTCTGCCACCCAAAGAAGTTCTTCCTCATGTTGAGGTGGAACTTCCTGGGCTCCAGTTTGAACCCATTGCCCTTCATCCTGTCCAGGGCACAAGTGACAAGAGCTTGTCCTGCCTTCTTGATACCCTCATGTATTGATAGACATTAATTAGGTGCCCCCTCAGGCTTCTCCTCTCCAGACCAAACAGCCCCAGGTCTCTCAGCCTTTCCTCAGCAGATGTTCCAGTCCCTCCATCATCCTTGTAGCCTCCCTTGGAGTCTCTCCACTCAATCCCTGTCCCTCTGGAACTGGGGAGCCCAGCCCTGGACCCACTTCTCCAGATGGGCCCTCACCAGAGGGGCAGGAGAACCTCCCTGCCCTCCTGCCCACACTCTCCTTGATGCCCCCCAGGATTCCATGGGCCTTCTTGGCCACCAGGACCCGTTGCTGGTCTCCCTGCATCTGCCCATTCTGTCACACCATTACAGAAGCCTAGCAGATTAGTCAGACATAGAATCATCAAGGTTGGAGAAGACCTTCAAGATCATCAAGTACAACCATCTTCCCTACAACCCCCAAGCACTGAACCCTCTCCCTCAGCACCACGTCCACCTGTGTTGGAACATCTCCAGGGATGGTGCCTCCACCCCTTCCCTGGGCAGCCTGTTCCACCAAGGCCTCCCCACTCCTTCTGGGAGGAAACTTCCTGATGTCCACTCTGAACAACTTGACCCCATCTCCTCTTGTCCCATCACTGGTCACCAGGGAGAAGAGCCCAACACCCACCTCACCACAACCTCAAGGAGTTGTAGAGGACATTGAGGTCTCCCCTCCTCCTCTTCTCCAAGCTCAACATCCCCATCTCCTTCAGCCTCTCATCAGACCTGTTCTCCAGACACCTCAGAAGCCTCATTGACCTTCTCTGCACCCTCTCCAGCACCTCCATGTCCTTCCCATTCTCATACCTCTGGTTTTCTCCCCTCTCTCTCTAGTTTTCTCTCCCCTCTCTCTCTCTCTAGTTTTCTTCCCTCTCTCTCTCTAATTCTCCCCTCTCTAGTTTTCTCCCCCCTCTCTCTCGTTTTCTCCCCCCTCTCTCTCTAGTTTTCTCCCCCCTCTCTCTCTAGTTTTCTCCCCCCTCTCTCTCTAGTTTTCTCCCCCCTCTCTCTCTAGTTTTCTCCCCTCTCTCTCTAGCTTTCTCTCCCCTCTCTCTCTCTAGTTTTCTCTCCCCTCTCTCTCTCTAGTTTTCTCCCCTCTCTCTCTAGCTTTCTCTCCCCTCTCTCTAGTTTTCTCTCCCCTCTCTCTCTCTAGTTTTCTCCCCTCTCTCTCTAGCTTTCTCTCCCCTCTCTCTAGTTTTCTCTCCCCTCTCTCTCTCTAGTTTTCTCCCCTCTCTCTCTAGCTTTCTCTCCCCTCTCTCTAGTTTTCTCTCCCCTCTCTCTCTAGTTACCTCATACCTCTAGTTACCTCATACCTCTAGTTACCTCATACCTCTAGTTATCCCCTCTCTAGTTTCTCATGACTTCCTAGAAGCACCTACTCCCAACTCTTCCCTCATGTCTGGGAAGGTGCTTTATCCACACTTTCCAGCAGTCAACTTGAGATGAGCTCCTGTGTAATTGATGATAACTAATGTCTAATTACCATAATTAGACAAGTGACAGAAAATGAAGCTGCAGCTGGGAGCCCTGACTTCAGCACGAGGGAGCCTGATAAGCAGCATCATGTGCATAACAAGGTGGTTGGCAGGAGCCCATTTAAATGAGAAGGTAATGCCAGAAATCCCAGTTCCACTAAATTTATTGCCTTCCAGCCCAAAAAATTAAGTGGAATTTGGTCAAAAGGCATGAGGTTCTTTTGGAAAAAAAGAACTGGTGATTTTCAAACCAAAAAATATATTTAAACCCCCTTTTTTTTTTTGGAGGGTTTGGTTCATTTCTTGTTAGGTTCATGTGGTAAAAGGTGATGCAGGTGGTTTGCTATTTTTTTTTTTTATAAGGTATTAATTTTAATTCCATAATGAGTTAGAAAAGCTTCTCAAAGCTTTTCTGACAGGCTTTTAAAATAGCCAAGGGTTTGCTTGGTGTTCTTAACCCAAGTTCAAGATTTGAGTTCCAAACCTACCCACATGCTGTTGATATTTCTGCCTGCTTTTCTTTGCTGGTCCAAAGCTCCTTTGTCGTCAGGATTTTGGGATAATTTCTGTAAAATCTGCAAAACACAAAATTCAGCAGCAGGTGAAGGAAGTTGAGGTGCTCAAGTGCTCACCTGGATCTTTGGGGGTGTCTTAAACAAGCTGTTTTGCCTCTAAAATGGTTCTAAATGCCCCCATTTTGTGGCTCTGCACGTTGTTGCACTAAAATCTTTGCATGGTAAGAAATGGTTTGTGTTTGTTGGCAGGGAATTTGCTGTCCAGTTAACCTGCTCATTAATTGGAAAAGGTGGTTTGGATTTGGGAGCTTCACCAGGTTCAGACCAACTGCAGCTGTCTAGAAAATAAAATGAAATGAAAAGCCTAAAAGCTGTTGGTATTTTTGATGTTGGGTCAGGGTCTGGTGAGTTCTTGCCCCTTTGAAAAGAAGGAATAAGTGGTCAAAAAATGGGGGAAATGAAGGTTTTTAAACCAGATTTGGGTGGGAGGAGAGTTGGATCATCTGAGTGGACAGATTGGTGAGTGCAGGGCTCAGGAAACCCCCTCCTGGTGCCTCTTGCTCATGTTGGTCCAGATTTTGGTAGGTTTGAAATGGAATTGGATACATTGGAAAGAATGTTGAGAGCTTTTAAATGGATTGATAGCTTTCATAGAGATGTTGGTGGCAGTTTAATAGACTTGGATAGATTTAAAATGGATTTTGGTTGGTTTTAAGTAAATTTGGGTAGCATTTAAATAGGTTTTGATAAATTTTAAATAGATTTTGATAGATTTGAAATGGATTTTGAGAGATTTGAAATGGATTTTGATAGCTTTTATATAGATTGATAGCACTGAAGTAGATTTTGATAGGTTTAAAATAGATTTTTACAGCTTTTAAGTAGATCTTGATAGCATTGAAATGCATTGATAGCTTTTTAACAGATTTTGATAGCTTTTAAATATATTGATAGCTTTGATAGAGATTTTATAGCATTTAAGTAGATTTTGATAGCTTTTAAATACATTTTGATAGCTTTTATATAGTTTGACAGCACTTAAGTAGTTTTTTATAGCATTTAAGTAGACTTTGATAGATTTAAAATAAGACATAGAATCATCAAGGTTGGAGAAGACCTTCAAGATCATCAAGTACAACCATCTTCCCTACAACCCCCAAGCACTGAACCCTCTCCCTCAGCACCACGTCCACCTGTGTTGGAACATCTCCAGGGATGGTGCCTCCACCCCTTCCCTGGGCAGCCTGTTCCACCAAGGCCTCCCTTGATAGCTTTCAGGTAGGTTTTGATAGCATTTAAGTGAGGACCGTAGGTTGATATGGCCGCATCTGCTCTAAGAACCTTGTTTTGGGGGGTTTCTTGATTCCAGCCATGTTTTGTTTGTTCTGTGTGTGGCTTCGTGGCTTGGTTAGAGTCACAGGGTGGTGGGGTGGGCAAGGAGCTCTGGAGATTCCCCCCTCAGGCTCCTCCTCTCCAGCTCATCAGCCCCAGCTCCCTCAACCTTCTCCTGTTCCCTCAACCACCACAATCCCACCAACCCCAAGAGGGTTGTCCCAGGCAAGTGGCAGCTGGTGGCCTTCTCCAGGACAGAAGGACACACCTTGGGGAACACAAAGGGAGAGACACAGAGTGGTGGGGTGGGCAGGGAGCTCTGGAGATCATCAATCCACCCCCCTGGAGAGCAGGGTCACCTCCAGCAGATCCCACAGGAACCAGCTGGGCTGGGAATGTCTCCAGAGCAGGAGCCTCCCCAGCCTCTCTGGGCAGCCTGGCCCAGGGCTCTGCCACCCTCCCAGGAAACAACTTCCTCCTCATGGAGAAGTGGCACCTCCTGACCTTCAGCTTGTGCCCATTACGCCTTGTCCTGTCACTTAAATACTTTTTTTCTCCTTGAACTCCAGACCTGCTAAAACCTCTGATGGATTTTGAAACACTTTGCCAGAATGGAAGCAGATTCTCTTTCCCACTTCAGAAATAACCTCTTGATTCCTTCTTTATATTTATCCAGTGTTAAGTATTCGTGGTATTCAGGAAGAAGATCCCCCAGATGCTCAACTAATGAGACTAGATAACATGTTGCTGGCCGAGGGTGTCTCCGGGCCGGAGAAAAGAGGAAGAGGAGGAGGACCAATGGCTGTAGCAGCAACATCAGGTGGCTGTCCAAATGACAATAGCATTGAACACTCTGACTACAGGGCCAAGCTGTCACAGATCCGACAGATTTACCACTCTGAGCTAGAGAAATATGAACAGGTGATCTTTCTGCATGGAAGAGTTTTTATCATCTCCATTAAAAAATTAACCCTTTTAATTTGTTTTCTTTTTGGTGTCGGTTTTGGTTTTTTTTTGGTTTGTTTTTTTGGTAAGAAATGGCTTCAGGTGAACATTCAGCTGGAGACTTAGCTCAAAAGTAGGGTGATGATAGAGGGACTGGACATCAAAGTGCAGATCATAAATGTCTCGTTTGTCTTTGTTGCTGTTTTTTAAGGGTAAATGGATAAAGCTGAAAGATGGAAACTCCTCTAGTGTTTTATATATATATATATACCCACCTATCTACCTATCTACCCACCTGTCTACCCACCCACACCTCCCTACCTGTGTGCCTATCCACCCCACCCACCCCCCTACCTGTCTACCCCCCTACCTACCTACCCACCCATTTATCTACCCACCCATCTACCTACCTATCTCTCTCTCTCTCTCTCTCCTCCCAGTACCTGAAGGGGCTCCAGGAAAGCTGGGGAGGGACTTTATTTCAAGAGCTGGTAGTGAGAGGACCAGGGGTGATGGATCAAAACTGGCAGAGGGAGCTTGAGGTTGGACACGAGGAGGAAGTTCTTGGCTGGGAGGGTGGGGAGAGCCTGGGCCAGGGAAGCTGTGGCTGCCCCATCCCTGGAAGTGTCCAAGGGCAGGTTGGATGGGGCTTGGAGCAACCTGGGCTGGTGGGAGGTGTCCCTGCCCATGGTGGGGGTTGGATCTAGATAATCTTTGAGGTCCTTCCAACCCAACCCATTCTATGACTGTATATAAAAGGAACTTGAGGCTGCTGCATCGTTTGGCCCTACCAATGTGTGTGTTTCTAGGCCTGCAGTGAGTTCACCACCCATGTGATGAACCTGCTGAGAGAGCAGAGCAGAACCCGGCCCATTTCTCCCAAGGAAATCGAGCGGATGGTGAACATCATCCATGGCAAGTTCAGCACCATCCAGATGCAGCTGAAGCAGAGCACGTGTGAGGCCGTGATGATCCTGAGGTCACGTTTCCTCGATGCCAGGTACAGGAAGACACAGTCCAGGGATATCAAAGGCTTAACCTTCAACTTCTTTGCTTGCATGATTCTATGTATTTGTGCTGGGGTTGCCTCAACCCACGTGCAGAACCTTCCTTGGTGCTGGGGTTGCCCCAGCCCATGTGTGCAGAGGCTTCCTTGGTGCTGGGGTTGCCCCAGCCCATGTGTGCAGAGGCTTCCTTGGTGCTGGGGTTGCCCCAACCCATGTGTGCAGAGGCTTCCTTGGTGCTGGGGTTGCCCCAGCCCATGTGTGCAGAACCTTCCTTGGTGCTGGGGTTGCCTCAATGTGCAGAACCTTCCACTTGGCCTTGCTGAACTCCATGAGGTTGGCACAGTCCCACCTCTCCAGCCTGTCCATCTCCCTCTGGATGGATTCTCTTCTCTCCAACGTGTACACAAACTGGTGTCCTCAGCAGACTGGCTTGAGGGGGTATCAATCCCACTCTCCATGTCACCAACCAATCTCAAATCTCATCCCCAGGGTCCATCTGGTGGAAACATTAAGAATTCCCCAACCTGCTCTACCAGCCTTGACATCAACATCTTTGGAATTCCACTCAATTCTTAGGTTCTCCTTCCAACCAAGTGTCTTTTAAAGGTTTTCCAGCCTCTCTCTAACACCATTTAAATGCTTTTTCAGGCGTAAACGACGTAACTTCAGCAAACAGGCCACGGAGGTGCTGAATGAGTATTTTTATTCCCATCTGAGCAATCCTTACCCCAGTGAAGAGGCCAAAGAAGAGCTTGCAAAGAAAGGTGGCATCACAGTTTCACAGGTAGGAAGTGATTTATCTGGAATGAAGGGGTTTTTTTTTCCCCCTCCCCAGGCTTCAGTCACTGGCACTTTAAATAGAATTTTGATTATTCTGAAGGGTTGTTTTGTTTCCCACTGGTTGAAAACATTTCCTTTGCTGGTGACATTCAGAAAACTAGTGGCAAATGTAACAATTGGGTGAAATACTAACAGGGAGATGCATGTCCCCAGGTTTCCAACTGGTTTGGTAACAAGAGAATTCGATACAAAAAGAACATGGGGAAGTTCCAAGAAGAAGCCAATATTTACGCCGCAAAAACGGCCGTGGATGCAACTAATGTGGTGGCTCAAACCAACCAGGCAAACTCTCCATCAACTCCAAATTCAGGTGAGTTTTGTCTGCTCGAAAGTCTTGAATTAGTTCTTGGGAAATCATTTGGTGTTTGAAAGACTTGGAAAGGTATTTTCAGTCTTGGAATCAGTCGCAGGTTTTGGTTTTCGTTCAAACTTCGTGTTCGTTCAAGAACCGTTTTTGTTGGGTTTTATTTCTTGTTAAAACCTTTTTTTGTGTGGTTTTTTTTTTCCAGCTTCCTCTGGCTCTTTTAAGATGACAAATTCTGGAGATTCCTTTATAAACTTGCAGTCCTTGACTTCCTACCAGAGCTCCCCAGTGGGAGCCAATGTGCAGTCCCAGGTCAGTAAGGAAAAATAAAAACCATCCCCACTTTGAGGGAAAGAAATGTTAAAATCCCATTTTTTCCTCTCCTTTATCCTGTTTGAGGTTACCCAGGGAGGGTTGTGGAGTCTCCATCCTTGGAGATACTAAAACCTCAGCCTGCTCTGACCCTGCTTCAAAGAGCAGGGTTGGATTGGACAATCTTTTCTTTTTTAAAAGTAGAATTGTGCTTATTAGGATTCCTGGTGAGCAGAATTCAACTCAATTTTAAGCTTTCTGAACTCCTAAATCCACCTGAACTGCATCAAATCTATTCCTCTGTCCTAAAAGCCAAAGGTGATAGGGATGATACCAGGCTCTAATTCTGCTTGATAATTAAATATCTCAGTTAATAGCATGAACTGCAAAGAAAACTTGTTTCCCTGCCCTTTATTTAAGGAATTTTTGGCCCAGTAGGTACATATCATGTAATAATGCATTCCTGAACTGGGTTTTTTATCCTTATTATTCCTGAACTTGGGTTTTTCTCCTTATGATTCCTGACCTTGGGTTTTTTCTCCTTATGATTCCTGACCTTGGGTTTTTTCTCCTTATGATTCCTGACCTTGGGTTTTTTCTCCTTATGATTCCTGACCTTGGGTTTTTT